ATGGTCACGATGATGATGATGATGTGAATCATGGTCACGATGATGATGATGATGTGAATCATGGTCACGATGATGATGATGATGTGAATCATGGTCACGATGATGATAATGATGTGAATCATGGTCACGATGATGATAATGATGATTTCCTCAAGAATCGAACAAAATTCAGGACAATCCGAGGCCTGCCTCGTGATCGGAAGAGGCCACGACATTTTCGCGCCAAGTCGTGAAGTGGGTGACGAGGAGGAAATCCCGTGACCCGTTATGGCGCGCACTTAACCCGCGAGTTTCCCAGGCAAGCGAAAGCAGGGACAGATTTGACCAAACGTTTGTCACAACGTGATGGAATCAGGCGCTCGTCAGTTGTTGTTTTTTGTGTTTTGTGTGTGTGTGTTGTTGTTGTTGTTTTTGGGGGGGGGGCATGTGGAGTTATTGGTATCATCTGACTGAAAGCTGATTTATTTGCCTTGCTTTGAATGAAATAAAAATCTATCTATCTTGAATAGAACTCGAGATATTTGAGATTGAAAGAAGTGAGATCGCCTGGTTTCAGTGCTGAAATGAACGAGAAAATGGCCGCCAAAGTTTGATAACTACAATAGCGAAAGAGTCTTTGAAAATAGAAAAATGACATATTTTAAGCCTTTAATCAATGTTTTTGAGTAAAATTCACATGGAAATGTGTTTTTATATGGACATAAAAGAGGTTGAGCCAAAAAATAAAAATTTGATTAAAAAGTCCAAACTGACGGAAAAGGCTGCTTCTCCAATGTCTCTATTTTGACGATCGCTTGGTGTCTCCGCGCTGCCTCACGTGTACACTATACATGTACACTATACATGTACACTATACATGTACACTATACATATACACTATACATATACACTATACGTGTACACTATACATATACACTATACGTGTACACTATACATATACACTATACATATACACTATACATATACACTATACATGTACACTATACATGTACACTATACATATACACTATACATGTACACTATACATGTACACTATACATGTACACTATACATGTACACTAT